ACAAGTTTTGTACTTTTTTTTTTAATATTATAAATCGCAATAATTAATAATTTAAAATATTTTAAAAAATATATTAAAAATTTAGTTGGTTTCGGGAATTTTATTTATACTATATAAAATGGGACAAAGGAAGCAACATATATCATTTACAAATGACTTAAAAAGCATTAAAAATTACAATAATTACCAATTTAAAATATTTAAAAGCTATATAATAAAATAGGTTCACTCTCAGAATTCTTTCAGGCTCACATATATTAGGACAGAAAAAATAACACATATCATTTTAAAATTACCAAAAAAGTATTATAAATAATAATAATTAACAACTTAAAATATCTGAAAGACATTTTAAAAGGGTTAATTTTGTAATTTTATCCATATCACATAAATTAGGACAAAGTGACCAGTAATGTTGGTTATTTGAAAGTTACATCAAAATATTATAAATCACAATAATTAATAACTTAAAACATTTTTTAAAAAAAAATTAAAATTTGGATGACTCTCCAAATTTTATTTGTGTGACATAAATTGAGACAACAAAAATAACATATATTGGGTCCATTTTAATTTATTTGTCTTATTTTTTTTTTGGGTTTTTTATATTTAAAAAATGCGTAAAAATATTATAAATCATGATAATTGACAACATAAAATATGTTTTGAAAAAAAATACAAAAATTTCCACTCATTCTTTAAGTAAATCTATCGTAAAAATACTATAAATCATGATAATTGACAACATAAAATATTTCAAAAATGTTGTATGTGGATAGTCTTATTGTGCCTTGAATAGCATCAAATAAAGTACAAGTTTGTGATAAAAAAACTTATTCCTTTATCCACGCAAACAATCGCTTCAAAATCTCCGTTATTAGCCCCAAAACATACCATTTATATTATTGGGCCCGTGCCCGTGCATAGCACGGGCAACATTACCTAGTATATATATAAAGTTAAGATACTCTAATTTGTCAAAAAGTTCTTTATTCGCCTCTACATAATTGCTAAATTATCAAAATACAATATTTAATAAAATTTGTCTCAATCATAAAATTCAGAGGTGTTGACTATTAAAATCACTTCCTCTTTTCTCCAACCTAAAGAAAGAAGAAAAAGGAATTTAATAAATAGCAGAAAAGATGGCTTAACAGAATTTTATGGGCTTAGGACTAAATATCCAAAAATTTCAACAGAATTAATTATTTTCTTTTAGTGCATATTCTATCTATAATCTACTCATCTAATTTCACTTCCCAATGTATGACTAAAAGATTCAAACAAAACAAATAGAGAAATTATTTCACGTTATTTCCTGTTTGTAGCGTAACGCAATGGTCTATATCTACCCAACATTCCTTCTTGGGTTAGTGTCATAAAGTGTGCCGTCTTGAATTTTAGTTTCCGCCTAAGTTTAAATTCAAGATTGTCATTAAGAAGTGTCAATAGTTATAGTAAAAAATATAATAATGAAGCTATTAAGATTAGAAACACACGACCTCAATGAATTTGCATAACTCCTTAACCACTAGACTAAACTTTCAATTTGTGTTAAGAGGCGTCAGTATTTATATATTTATTAAACAAAAATTTGACCTATATATACGATGTAATTTTCTAACAAAGGGATGTCGCTTGACACCCCTTGGCTAAGAGTGGGTCCGCCCCTGTGTCTACTTTATGGGTAAAAGTTAGAATTTATATATTGATAGGGAACATAACTAAGCTGGTGAAGCACTACACAAGAAATTATTTTTAGCGGCAATAACTTAATTGGTATATTTTTTTAGAGGCAAATAACACTCTTTGTAAATGTTCCTAAAATCTATAGTGATATTGAATTTAATAACATTTAACTAATGTCGGTAATATTTTTAGCACTTTTAATGTACATATTTGTTGTAATATTTGTTATAGTGAATTGAATAGATTCACTATTTTAAAATGTCTTGAACGTCTGCCTTATGGGCAAAAAATAACATACTTAAGTTTTAATTTATCTATAACTCAAAGCTTTTGGTCAGTTGAGAAGGTTCTATCTTGAAATGACATAGGCGCATGTCTTATGGGTAAAACTTAGAATTTATAAACGATGAGCAATATACATAATTTTAACTTTTGTCTATAAGGCAAAACTTCTGACCAATGAGCAGATTCACCGTCTAAAATATTCTAAATGTCTAGCTTATTGAGAAAGATTTTTCTGAAGCAGGGGCTACTTTTTTTTTTAAAAAAAACATTGTTAAGCGGGGCCAAAAATCAAACTCACCCCCTTATGAAGGATTTTTTGTAAGACTTTTTCTTTTGAGGAACAAAATATCAAGACCAATCCATCTTAAGATCATTTATGAACTTATCTGATACTAGGGGTGATAAAATTAGGTCATAAAACTATAACACACCCAATTCATTTGGATTTGAACGAGTTAACAATTCACTTATTTTATTAATTGAGCTTATTTTGATATGCTTTTTAAATCGAGTTGATGATATGTAATCCAAATTGACTCATGAAAAAAATTCTCTAAATATTTTTTAAAAAACATTTCTATGGATATGCTTTACATGTGCATAATATAAGAAAATTCTTTTTATTTGGTCAAATAAATTGTAAGCCAGATAAATTTTGAATCTAAACTTCCTAAGAATGGAAAGGATTAGGTTATGACCAAGTTTTAAGCTCATTTTATCTCAATCGGTTAATTAGTTGATTCATTTTGACATTCTCAAATTTAACTCAATCCGTTAATTTGACATTCTAATTGTTACTCTTTCCATTTTAAATTATTTATCATTTTAAAAGTTTATGATAAAAATTAATTATTATTTCTCATTTTATCCTTAATAATGTTATTCTCAAATACTACTTTCTTCGTATCAAAATAAGATGTTATTTTAGTAAAAATAATTCGTTTCAAAATAAATGGCACCTTAAAAATTTAAAACAAAAACCCGTCTCTATATTTTTTTCGACTATATATACCTTTATATTTCATCTTTTTAATATTATCTCATTTTTCAAGAGATATTTATTAAATATAAGTAATTCAGTAAATTACACATTATATTATTGATTTCTTAATAGACATTTTTATTAAGATGACACTTATTTTAGAACAAAAATAGTATACATATCTCAATAGAATAATATTTAAATATGAGATATATATATATATATATGCATATAAACAAAATAATCAATAATTTATTCTAATTCATAACAATTTTTTTTTTTTTAAAAAAAAAACACATGATAAATAATTTGAGACAGAAAAATTAATAAAACTGTTAGCCCAAATCCCAAAATATTCCTTTCCGATAAACATATGGTCCACACCTGTTAGCGCCGTTATCTCACTTGTCTCTCCTACCTAGGATATCTCAATATTAATTCTTTGTGAATTATGAGGACCATAGCCAAATGACGCAAACAAGTCAAATTTAGAAATCGATTCAAAATTTAAATTTTACGATTGTAAATTATAAAATATGTTAGTAGATTTTTCTGAAATTGATGTAATTTTTAGGTAGATTAATAATTATCTTAATAATATATTCAGTGTAATATTGTTTATAAATAATGTTAAAAAAAAAGTAAAATATACACAAATATTAAGATATTTTTGTGGATTAAAAGGTGGAAAAAAGGAAACAAAATATCTTCTCTTCTATTCCACAAAGATGGAAGTAAAATTTTATGTATATATATATATATATATATATTATTTTGACGAGCAACTATACGATACAATTGAAAATCACTATGAATTTTCTTGTCAAAGAGAAGAAGAGGAAATGACCACGTAATGCTCAAATTAAGAAGTGATTTATTTTCAAGAAACAACCTAAAGGTAACTTTCTCACCCATTTTTTAGGAAAGAGGCGCTAAAAATAGTTTTACTAAAATTAAGTATTCATTTTTTAAGATTTTTTTTGTACTTATAAGGTATGTTTGGTGCGTAAATATTTTTAAGAAAATGAGTGATTATTTTTATATATTAGCAAAAGATATTATTCCAAATATAGTTGTATATAATCTTTTTCGAAACCTAGATGACTGTAAAAAAAAGAAGCCATATAAACTGAAATAATAGACAAAAAATATTGTATCTAAATTATCGCACAATAACTTTAAGAGCTATATGTGATTTGGCTAATAATAATTGTTTCAGACTCTATTGAAAGGGAGGAGATAATTAATATAAAATGTTATTTGTGAAAATCGTTTTCCCTAGTTTTATTAGGAAAATCTTATTCATCATTTAAGGAATTTATTTTTCTATGTTAAGACAAATCATTATCAATCATGTAAAAAATTATAACGGATAGTAGAAGTCTACCAAGCAAATGCCTTGCCATAAGGTAGATAATCCATATTGACATTACTCAACAATTCTTCTCTCAACATTTGTCTCATGCAACATGTTGCTCTTGGGAATTGAATTCATAATCTTGACTTTAATAGCACTTGTTAGAATTAAACGTTTATTATCATTATCAAAAGCTATAGCCAGTAGCAAGATCATATTTTATTTCTTCACCAAATCAACCAAGGAAGCTCCATGTTCGATCGATCTGACTCACCCTTTCCTAGATGGACCTTACCATAGACAAGATATTAATGTTACTCAATATCCTAACTAAAAAAAAACAATTTTTTAACTAACCAGACATAAAAAAAATTACGAATATTTTGTATGTGGGCATACCACCCATACCTCAAATTTCAATGGAGGACCTAATCAATTTTAAAATCAGAAAAAGTTCGATCATATTCCGATATTGTACTGGTGTTTTGATAATCCCTACCTTATAGACGTCAACTTCTGTATTTATTATTGCCTTCACTTCACTGGTGAATACAATACTTTTACTACACGTTACTGCTGACTTATCAATTTTCCCCATTTATTAGTGCTATAAATTCACATTTTATCATCCTAACAACAAATGCAATTTATTAAATCATCAACTATATTCTACGTACATACACTTAGCTCAGGAGAACATCAACATGGTTACAAGTAATGAATCTTTCTTGATAGTGAAACCGGAAAATGGAGGAACACGGGACCTCGTAGGCCTCCTCCTCGGAGGCTTACGAGGAGAGATCAAAGCTAAGTTTCTCGAATATTCTTGTGTTGACGATGGTGGTGGTGATTGTGATGGCGGAGAAGAAGTGGATGATCATAGATGGGTAATATTTGTGTCCATCTTAGTGAGGAAAATATTAAAGGTGTTGAAGAAACCAATGGAATGGAGTGGCTACTTCCTAGAGTTTTTCATCAACCTCTTCTCTCTTAATGGCAACTTTCTTGGTTTATTCCACAATATCTTGCATGGTAATACTAATACTCCCCTACTCTTTCGTTTCATTTTACGTGAAGATATTTGACTAGAAAAATAAAATTTTGAAATTTATGGTTTTAAATCAGGGGCAGAGCTAGTCGCCTGTATATGAGTTTGGTCGAATAACTCAATAGATTTTGTTTAAATAGCGTATTTTTGTTACTAAATTCATTAAACATATGTATAAATATCAAATAAAAAACGTATTTATTCTTACTTAAAATCGTTATTGTAAAATTCAGAACCTATAAAGTTGATATCCTACCTTCGACTATGCTTTAAATATGTATTTCTTCTTCTTCATATTTTTTCAAAATATTTATCGTTCTTACTAAAAATATGTCTCAGAAAACATAACGTTTTTGAAGTTCAAAACAAAAATATTACTATTATTTTTTTCTTCCATTTTATCCTTAGTAGTTAGTAGCAATTTTTTTTTTAAAAAAAACTACAAACACTTTAATTATGACACACAAATATATTAGAAGTCTGTTTAGATTGACTTATTTTAAGTGTTTTTAAGCTAAAATAACTTCTAGGCACTTTTGGAGTGTTTTTATAAGTTAAAAAAAATACTTATAAGCACTTAATTTTACTTTTAAAATGCTAAAAGTAAGCCAAAAATGAAAAATCAATCCAAACAGACTCTAAATATTTAAATAAGAAAGATCATATCGTAAGACATAAATAAGGAAAAAACAGTCAAACACCCTCCCAATTACTATTTTCTTAAAAGACGTGTAAATGAAAAACACGACTAGCTTGAAAAACTGGAAACATGTCTCATGACTTCTATGAGTTAACTAGCTAGCTAGGAGTATAATAAATTTAGTTATCTGATTATAAACAAAAATGTTGCATATAAACAGGAAAGCTGGTGATACCACAAAGAGGAACTGCAAATTTCATAAGTATTATTGGCCATATAGATGGAAGAATTAACTTACTATACAACACTGAAATATTAACGAAGGAAATTGCTCAATCGGATAGTTTCATCAAAAAAAATGAGCAACGAGATAGAGCTCTCATGGATTTATGTATGATGTCTTCAAAGTTGGCTTATCAGAACGAAAACGTCGTTAAGGACGTTGTAAATCATCACTGGAAGGTATATATATTATACTTCAGCTTCTTTATAAGTAATATTTTCTTGATCATTTGCTAGAAGTAACATTTTATCTTTTGTAAAACAGATGCATTTTGTGGATTTTTACAACTGCTGGAATGGTAAGAACTCATATACTTACTCATGTTAGATAGTTTGTAATATATTGTGAAAGAGCATGACTATTAATCTTAATTAAAAGTCATTTCCTAAGTTGTAGAGTTAAAGGGTCAAAAACAAAATTAAACTATCCTACTTTATTGAGTTTCGTATTTGGACTATTGAGAAAGTGAGTTTCGTACTTGAACTATCACCGAATGGTTAACAAAACATACCTAGATGTTGACTAGAACAAATGTTTGTCTGGAAAGGCTTTTAGCCGCGTTTGTCCATAAAATATTCATCCACATGTATATATATAGCATAGTACTATTGGGGTGATAGTTCACGTAAGAAACTCACACTCTCAATAGTTCAGATATGAAATTGAAAAAACTGGCATAATTTAGCGTTAGAAAAATATGCACTTGTTGTATCATGAATGGAATTGCCTCAAGGCCATTTCTTCTTTGATTATGTTTCCTATTTTTCTAACTCCTTGCCTTCTCTGATTGAATGAACATTCTTTCTTGAAAATCTGTGTTTGTTGAGAACAGATTACCAGAAACAGAATTCAACTCAAGTTTTCATACTATGCGATAAATCAAAAGATGCAAACTTGATTTTGATCAGCTTCAGAGGTACTGAGCCATTTGATGCTGATGATTGGATCACTGATTTCGACTACTCGTGGTATGAAGTTCCTAAAATAGGAAAACTACATATGGGATTCTTAGAAGCGTTAGGATTAGGAAGCAGAGTAAACGTTTCCACGTTTCATGAACATCTTTTTGATAAAAATGTTGATGTAACTATTGCTCATCCAGAGAGGAAGACTGCTTATTATACTGTTAGAAGCAAACTCAAAAGTTTACTAAAGGAACACGAGAATGCAAGGTTTGTCGTTACAGGACATAGCTTAGGAGGAGCGTTGGCTATACTATTTCCAACGATGCTTGTTATACATGAGGAAATGGATGTCATGAAGAGATTATCGCGTGTATACACATATGGTCAACCTAGAGTTGGAAATAGACAGTTAGGGAGGTTTATGGAAGAACATTTGGAACATCCGGTGCCTAAGTACTTCAGAGTTGTTTATAGCAATGATCTTGTTCCGAGGTTACCTTATGATGATAAAACATTTCTGTATAAGCATTTTGGTGTTTGTATGTACTATAACAGCTTATACGTTGAGCAGGAAGTACGCGAAGAGCCAAACATGAACTTTTTTGGGCTACGATTCGTGTTACCAATGTATCTGAATGTTGTTTGGGAGTTTATCAGAGGCTTCTTTATGTGTTACATATATGGACCAGAGTACAAAGAGAGCTGGGAATCAATATTTTTTCGGATGGTGGGGATGTTTCTTCCAGGGATTTCTGCTCATAGCCCGGTTAATTATGTCAACTCTGTAAGACTTGGAAGGAAGAAGTGTTCAGATGTCATCGTTTTGGTAAGTCTAGATTGAAATGAAATGCCTTGATCAAGTGATTTATGTCTCAAAAAATAAACTCGTTAGAGCTTTTTCGTGTCTTGAATAAAGTTTATGGATCATATTTTGGTGTTGTGATTGTAAGAAGTGTTGGAACTATTATGAGTTGTTGATGTGAATGTATCAATGAGAGTACATGTAGAAGTTTTTGTTGTTGTTGAATGTATTGAATAAATGTTGTTTCAGTGATTGCTTGTTATTAGATTTGTTTGATAATGAAAATGAATTGTATCAGTTGTTCTTTGTCTACACGATGTAAAGATATGACACGTGGACCTCACTCATCCTCAAAAGTTAACTCATAAATGTGGGACTTTAACCCACTCTAGTACCCCACTTCATGTAGACCCAACTAGAGTGCCGAGAGCCCGAATAGGGATAAACCCGACTCTAATAGCATGTAAAAATATGATACAGACCTAACTCAACACCAAAAGCTAGTCACGAGAGGAGGATTGTCCAAGTCAATATAAGTAGACCATCAATCTAAAAGCTAGTCATGATAGAGGCAAGTGTTTTACATTCATTGGTTTGACGTGAACATCTGGTTCTGCCAGTCATCCCCCAACCAATGCCACTAAATGATATGAACCCAAAATGTACGTAAAATGTTATCAAGGTAGTAACCATAAATATATCACGTTGAAAATTGAAATTAAAAAGTTACTTTAAAAAAAAGGCATTCTTATTGAAACAGAAAGAATACACCTTATTAGTAAACGTAAAAAACACTGAAACTAATTCTATATAATTTGGTGATTCATCATTAGTTAAATTTGATGAGCAAACTAGAGACAACTTTAGACTAATAAAAATAACACACAAAAATATATACAAATACTAAGTGCACAAGAATAAAGATAGTTAATATAAATACATAAAAGCATCCAATTCTTACAGAACAAAAAAAAAAGTGGCACCTCGTTATGTTTATGTAAAAGAAACTACAGATCTTCTGTTCACAGGATATGTCAAAACAACAACAATTTCAATACATTTTACAACGACAGAGCAACTGAATATCGCGAACATGTGAAAGAAGGGAGAGATGCTAACGCCTGCTCATTTTTACGTCTCGTCTCTATGTATCCTAATTGTGAAGTACCTAATCGAAGCCAGCATCACTGGCATATTTGTATAGTAAATCATTTATCAATCCAATCTTTGAAAAGAAGCATCATATATAGAGGGATGTTAAAAGCTGCAATGATAGTAATTATACTCAATGTCCTCACCAATCTCCTAATTACCATCTTTGTCTTTGATTTGTTTGTCCGAGGCAGTGCTTTTACCGCGGTATCTGATCCTATATGTAAAGTCACATCACTGGGATTTGAGGTATCCGTCTCTTGTTTTCTGGCAACTGATCGCATGACAGCATTACCCCTGCATTCGAGAAAAATGCATCGATGTAACTTGAGCATCAAATAGTCAAGGAGGCACCCAATAGATTACAGAAGAATGACAAACATTGAACTGAAGTGACGACAGCATGAATAGCTTGCTTATCATGAACAAATCAACATGGAATCAAATTTTTGAAGAAAAAGAAAAATATTGAAGGACAACTACCTAAGTAGCTCAGACTCGAGTGTGAGTGTCTGATAAGGGTGCATATCTCGGATCCTTCATGATCTAAATTTTAAGATTCAGGGGTACAAATCCAGTATAGATGCTAGTGCGAGGATTCAACTAAAAATAATTCAGCTAGCTAATAACAGAGTTACAAAAATATGCCTAAATTATGGTGGACTATTTGGAGGAAAAGGAATGCACAATTATTTTAGAGCAAGTTGGATCTGTGATTATTATTAAGTATAGATGCATCTTCTTACTGTTTTTTAGGGTGTAACACGGTTGTTGGAAATAATGATATATAGGTCATGATAGACTACTTGAGTTCATTGCACATTCAACAGTGATGTTGTATGGTTTAAATCTTTAAAGCACCTTCTGGTTGCAGACTACATACAAATATCTTTTAACTGATATTAAAAAAAAAAAAAGCATATGCCTAAATTATGATTTCTTCCTAGCTTTAGTTTCAGAAATCATTGTATGTGTCTCGAATTTCTCTATTGATTTTGGTCAAAAGTATCCAAAAACAATTGACCAAATCTGGTAGGGATCCCATAACCATCTCGTGTCGACACAGGTGTGGCACTGGAAGTGAAGAATCCGAGCAACTTAGACTACTCCAAGCCAAGTTGTAGTGTGAGATACTTCCTCACTGACAGTAGACTTAGACATACAGATTTTTAGAGGTACATGGGGACTTGCTGTAATGCACGATCAGATCCTGTAATTCTTAAAGTGCATTGCTATCTAACAAGGTTATGGTGCTTGTAATCTAGGAGGCAACTTCGAGAAACACACAAGCATGCTCAAGTAAAAATAAATAGTTACTCGCTGCAGTTCATGCAATGACTGGTTCTCTTTGATGGGACTTACCGTTCCACTGAAGCGCTGTCGCTTGAGCATGTAGAAGACACTTTAAAGGTTTTCTTTATGAGGTGCATCGATCCTTCTGCATCCCATATCTCCTCATATTCATATATCTCATCTTCACTTTTCAGTTTTTTCCCACCTCCCGAAAAGCTTGAACTAATTAGACCTCTTACATTCATCAGAAATCCATCAAGATAGTGCGGAAAGAGCACCCCATTCGTGGGCCAAAGGACGGCAATAAGAAGGGTCATGACAAACAGCAAAATATACCTGAAACATCCACAAACAAACTTTAAGATTACACGAAACACGGTTTATTAAGACAAATGTTTTGTTTTCATCTCAATCTACTGAATTACCATATATAAATGTATAACTGCACAGGGAGAAAGCACACTTTGGTGGAAATTGCCTCCTCTGGCATTGATCCGTTCGGTAAGATAAGATTACTTGCAGATAATAGCATGTAAGATGGAAACAAATTTCCCTGCTGCCAGCTTATAGTCCCTAGAGTATGCTGCACAACACTATCAATCAAACACCATCCAATCAATACAAACTTTTTCAGTTAAACAAGGTATGATACCTCTTTTACGGAGCCATATTTGGATTTGTGGTTTACTGTACACTGATCATGGTCATGCCCGGAAAGAATCAGTGCCTACAGAAACTCAAAATAATGCAACCCAAAAATCATTCATTTCAGTTAATATTGTGTAGAAATTTCTTCCCTTTATATTGCTACTATGTTTTGGATAAGCCTACATTACATGCAATGGTATCTAGAATTACTACTGAAAATATATATAAAAGATCATTGGGCCATGCGGACATCATAAAATGGAAGGAAATACTTACAGGTTTGATAGAGTCAAGCAGGTCATTTGTTCCTTTCTCAGTAATATAGTTTTGATATCTGTGAATGGAATTGTGACCAAGTCTGACATAAACATCCATGCGTACAGACACGGTAAATCCGTAATAAGCCACTAAAAGTGAGAGTAAGAGCTTACAATATTTCATTATCCTGAGCAGCACGGTTGATTCTCTGAAATAAATGACGAAATATGTAACTTTTCATTATAAACTCTTTCTCTCGGGACTCTACATGATACCAAAGATATGTTTATCAAAACAGAATATATGATAGACCTATTAATTAACCATATTACAAGAAAAGTCACATTTTTCTCCTCACAATAGCAACAAGCAAAATGAAGAAGAACTTTTAAAGATCATAATCCCTATTGTTTAGGTTCTTGAACTCAAGTGCTCTTTTACTGGAGAGGAATAGTACATGAATGGCGACTTTCAGGGGAAGGAATCTTTCCTCTATAAAATAGAAAAAACTAAAACAACTTTGACAAGTTTAAGAAAAAGTTAAATTTTACCTGATTAATAATTGATGATGAGCGATATGAACCGCACGCAGTTTGATCTGGTCGATACAATGGAATATGAGTCAATAGAACCCTTGGATTCGAAGACAGATCTGCATAAGACAGTAAAATGATCTGAGCATCTTACACACAAGTCAAATCACAACATACTCACAACATACATGGATAGTGGTTGGCTGAACATACGCTTAGAGACATTTTTGACAAATTCCCATGTGGCAGGGGTTACATTGTTTTGGGGATGCCCTGTAGATAAGAGATTTTGCTGTGAGTCTTTACAAAATAACAACATCATGAATCGAACCGTAATCGATAGAGTCTCTTTTTCATGTTAATTGATAGGAAGAAGAGCAAAATCATTAAAGTGGTGTTTACAAAATAACAATACCATGAATTGAACCAGCTCATTAGCAATGAATTACTACTTACATTATCTGTTCTGATCGTCAAAGAGTAGTCACATGGTCATGTGTCATACAGAAAACTACTACATTATAGTTAGAACCCTCTATCTCAAAGAGTAGTCACATGTTCTAAAACAGCAAGTACTAAATAAATTAGCATTTTTAGACACTACATGTACATAAAAAGGTATAAAGGAATTGGGGAGATTGAAACAAGTGAAAGAAAAAGACTAGGCAAATATATTCTTGAATAGTTATTCAAAAAATGGATATTAACTCTTCGACGCTGAAACGAGAAAAGTTTTAGTTTTATCTCTAAGCAATAACTGTTGAAGTTCCCAAACTTTTATATATATTAATAGAAACAACAAAAAGAGCTCCAAATAAAGAGTAGATTGTGATATTACCATCTAAGGTTTGCGCATCGATGGTGATGAAATCTACTTTCCCAGCTGTAAACTGATAGTTCCTTGCACCAAATGCTTTCTCATAGCGTTTGATAACCTGCATTATTGTGTGCACAGATAAGATCGGAAATAGAATAGGAGTAAACCAGAATGTCCTGCTTCACAGACCAGGCAGGAGCAATGAATGCACTAAATCTGTATGTTAAAGTTTCCGGTATAGAGATTCCATAAGGCTAGTAACATGACAAAATAGCTAGCTAAATGGAAGCATGATTTTCTCTAATAACTGAAAACATTGAACTTTTGTAGCAAACAGTAACTTGGTTGGCGCAGAATCATAAATTGTCGTTTTATAGAGACATTTGGTGCTCCTTGAAACAAAGCACTGATGCCAGATAAATTGAAGCTTGTATGGGTTTCTTTAAGCAACTACAAACACATCCACTTTACCATCAACTACAAACACTAGTTGACCTAATCTGAAAACTCTTCATGTTATGA